TGTCCATTGTGTCACAGTAAACATTCTGGTAAAACTGAGGTGGAATGCAGAAGCTGCTTTCAGACGGAACCTTGAAAAGAAGAAAAGATCCCCTTTTGTCCGTCTCCAATCCATTATTTTGTGTGCTGCTCTCATCAACAGGCACTGCTCTTGACTTGAGAGGGCATCCGTGCCCCTTCAGCTAACTGTGTTTTCATTTCATAGTTGTTCACAGAACTCCTCGATTGTTCAAAGATGTCAACCGTGATGGCATCAGTGCAGCTGATCTCAAAGGTGTGTTTGTGCTGGATTTGTCGGTGTGCTCCGTGAGTGTTTGTTTGCTCTGACAGTGACTTGCACGATGGGTCTCAAGCTTTGGGCATCTCATGGCTGGGGCAGAACAGTAAGTAGCGACATGATCAGCAACTTAGTTTGGCAAAATGAAACTTGCCAGTGAGGTCGGGATGTTTCGGAAGGAGATACGGATTTGCCATGATCAGCAATTTTCACAGAGAGACAGGCACAGCAACAACTGACCAGATATAAGATCAGCGTTCCAGTTTTTTATGTGTACTTTTTCTGCCTGGTCCATTGTTACTGTTATATCCGGATATCCAGTGAGAAATATTGAGGTGGTTAAATATTCAACTTTCAATGTTCAGCGTCGAGGGAGCAGAGGCATCCGACCCCACCATGTTCCTGTCGATAGGATAATTGACTTGAAAACTATTACCCCCCACCCCCCCCAAAACAAAACAACAAGAAAAAGAAGAGCATGTACAGTCCTTTTTTTTATTTAAGGAGAAGGCACAAAAGTAGGAATTGGTGTTGAGGCTCTCAAACGGAATCCTGTTGGGAGCAGATGGGGAAAGCAGATGATGCTCCTTGTGTGGGTTGCAAAGAAGTTACATCACTTAAAAAATGCGATCATCTGCTGCTTTTGCGGAGTAGAATTAAGCACACGCATGCACACACACATGCACGCACGCACGCACACACAGACACAGGCACACACACACACACACACTCATATTTTTTGCCCGTCATATTCCATATTTAAAAAAAAAAAAAACTGTGATCTCACACATGACAACAAAAATATTGGCATGCGGCTCTTATCATGTATAGCGTAGTCAAGATGACCAACACATCACTCTGTGGGCCCTTGATTTATATACAGTACATTAGTGTACAAAGTGCAGTCTTAATGTGTGCATGGGTGGGGTTTTTCGTTCTTTAGCCTTTGCGCTGTTGTTGGAGTCAACACGGCCAACAGTGCATCAAGACTGCTTGAAAATTAAAAGAATGAGAAGCAAGGACAACTACTTTTGGGGGTGAGGGGGTTGCTTCCCCTTGCTTGTCATTGTCATCATGGTGGTGAATGACACATAAACATGCAACACAGCCACACGCTGAGTTTGTGAATCATGTTGTTGAGTAGGACAAGCATTGTAAATAATGATATGGTGGAATATTTATGATGGTCATCCCCAAGCGTTTTCCAAACAGAGGGTGCTGGGTGGTTGGTGGGGCGGGGGTACTCAAACCCTGGTAATGACTAAGGATCATCTTTCAGAGACATTATTAATGATCGACTTTGATCGGAAGGGATATAGGGGATGCTCCAAGTTTTGGATCGGGACCGGGTTGGCCCTCAGTTAAGATTAAAACCTGGTAAGCTTCAAAGCTGGAGATTACACAAGTTTCCAGGGGTAACGCCCTCTCTGAGACAAGCAGGATGCCGTCCCTAAACTGAAAGAAATGCCACATTTAAGTGTCATATCAAATTAAGCTGCTTTCTGTGCGGAAAAAAAAATGACGGTGAGTCAACTCGTGCGTTCGGCAAGTTGATGCAAATATGAAGCAAAGCCCAGAAGCAGAAAGAGGAATATAGCAAATGTTATTTTTACATGCAATGATCTGTTTCTGCTGCAGTCCTTTCCTTGGAATATTAAAGTGTCGCATTTTCAATCACATGGCAGCTTGCATTTCCATTTAAAATATGTATCTTTTTAAGCAACACATTACTTTTGTAAGTGGTATGCATTTTTACTGGTCATAATTTTAGCTGACTGCACCTTTTTTTTGTTAGATGAAGAGCGCCCGCCCCCAAATTGTCACGATCCCCCAACATGTTACGATGCGAAATTCGATGTCACCATTTAGCTTAGAGCTTAACATCCTCTTCCAGGGGCATCTCTGTTGAAGGGCTTCAGAGCGGCAATGGTTATTAGCCGGGGAGCGGAAGCCCCATGAATAATGCATCGTATCTGCTGTGAGGCATACAGCACTGTCTGCTCTGCCACTTCACATGCCACTGATGGCGAGTGAGTTGTGGAGATCATTGTGAACAGCAACCAATCTGACAGTGACACAAAAAGAATGAAGGGGTGTTGATGCGATACGAAGCAAAGGCCTGTATAAAATGTCAAAAAGGTAATGTTGAAGAGTATGTTTCACTCAGATGTCACATGATCAGCGAAGCTACAATGACCCCCAGCCAGGGAGGAGAACATGATGTGTGCCCGGAACACTGCCAGGATGGACCCCTGTAGTGGAGGGGGGCTGTGGCTGAACTGGGTTAAGATTCGCTCTGGCGCGCAGCCCGTCGAGATGCCACTTTTTGCTTGGCAGCCATGAAATTGAAAGTATACACAGTTACATTTCACTTACTTTCCTTTCCCTTTTGTGCAGTTTTAACTTTATGGGTTTGCAAAAGACTGTAGAACTAAAGTGCCAGATCTATGCATATGCATTTTTCTCCAAGCAGGAGAGTTTCGGTCATTCAACATTCGTGTGTGTGTGGTTTTTTTTCTCATTTCTGTCCTAAAATGTGCTCTTCATTTTACCGAGGCACAATAAAGATTTTTTTTTTCGCTAATGGATGAAACTGACAGCACTTCACCATCAAGCGCACACTTCTCAACATGGTGTGCAGGTACATGCTTCTGAGAGGTCAGACATCAAATTTCAGCATCATTCGTCATGAGAATCATGAGAACATACCATTTAAATCTGGACAGCACCTCTTGAAACAAAACGTACGGTTTCTGGGATCTGTTTTTTGTGCTGCAATGATATCAAGTTGCAGTATTTACATACCAGTGCCATATTTACTGGTTTGCTCTTGTAAAATAATGAGTTGAGTCAATGGGTGAACCTGGTTGGCTGAGTGAAGGTACAATTGACATTCTGTGAATAGGTAGTTCCACCTTTCATTTAAAGAGCCGTCGTTTGAGAATACGCATCGCCACAGCCACTTGTGCTCTCAAGCAGTATGGTGGGTGTCCCCTGAATGGTGGAAAATCATATTTGTTAGAGTTGCAGATAATACAATGTACAAGTCACTGTGGATAATCCAGAGACTTCACGCTCAGCACTTGCATTGGAGGCAAAATATTTTTTGTCTGCTTCCGGCACAAACACAACACCATCCATTCCCATTATAATGCGGTGGCAGAAATCCCTGTGCACTAAATGATAACACAAACAGAGTTGTTACTCTAAAGGGTACCCTTCACTGAAATTGATGTCGCCATTCACACGGCCAGATGTTATTGCAGAGAGGAAAACTTTCCATAAAGATTGGAACGTAGTAAGAAAGCAAAATGGAGGTCGTATCTTCAGGATAAGAATTTTTAGGGTTCCCAAAACTTGGTGGCTAGTAGGGATTGAACTGATTAGTCGCCTTATCAACTTTTATTTTCCTATTTTTATTTTTTTTTCCAATTGAAAAGCTGTTTGGTGAATGCAGGAATGTAAATTGCATGGTTCAGTACCTCCAACATGGTGAAGAAACACCTTTAAACGATAGCCAATGACATAATTGTGAAATCTGTGTTCCTCCTTCACAGTCTGTTTTTTTGGTGCCACAAAAAAGGACAAATTCCGACTTCAACGGACAGTTACGACTGTGGAAACAATTCATCGGTACCCCTCAAACCACTGTTGGGGACTTCCATGCCCTAAAAACAATGACGAGGGCAAGCAAAATTCTCTCTGACCCTTGACATCATGGTCACCACCTCTTCCATCTCCTCCCTTCAGGTAGGTGCAATCAAACCATGCACACAGACATTGAAATAGCTTCTTCCCTCTTGCCATTAATTACATAAATAGTCGACTAAAAATTCCACAGTAGCACTTTGCAAATGTTGGCCAATTTTGCATCTCCCTGTGTGACAGTATATTACTGTATTGATCATTGTAGCTTCAGCTCTCTACATATTCGCACAAGTGCCATTGATCAATACTTCACAGCACTAGACACTTGCTCGCTGCACATTCAAAAGTGTTTCGTAATTGCTGCGCTGCTGGTCTCTGCATTGTTTGCACAGCTGGCAGTGGTTGGGACGACCGCAAAATTGGTATCCTTACATTATGTAAAGTCTCTCTATACTTTTGTTGGACCATCTTTTGCGCCTGTTTAAGAATGCTCTTGCTCCCTCTCCAGATTTTCGTTGCAGTTTCAAGGACTAAGATGCTTGACAGATTGATACTATCTTTACAAGAAGCAACTTTTAGAAATGTGGGTTTGACTTTTGAAAATCACATCACAAGAATCTACTCTTAGCACTAGAATATTTTTTGGATCCGGGCCACGTAATGCTGATGAAACCAGGGCCAAAAGTGAGTGACAAAACAAAGGAGAAATGCAGTAGAAACTAGGGAGGAGGCGATCATGTCATGTCGGCGAGATTATTGAAGAGATACCTTTGGGGGCATTCTGAATACCAACCATCTACTCTTACAGCTTGATAGGTTCCGAGCACAGTGAACATGGGGAGGGATCAATAATCACGAGCCCCTCTTGAGTTATCCACCAGAAGCATAATTAGTGCCGTTGCAGCTCGCGACGGGCGCTGCCGTGAACAAGAACTGTTGAGCAGGGATCAATGTTCTTCCCCTCTAAATTAATGAGGCTAATGCTGATGTGACAGCTTCGGCACTGCGAATCCATCGGGAATCGGGTGTGCATACATGTGCAATGCTGAAAGGCCTTGACAATTATGGAGCAGGTACAGGGTATGGCTAAGTCATATTTTATTTGAGCACTTCATATTGCTGACCAATCAAGTCGATAGTTTCATTTTAAAAAAACACAGAGTTGAATGTGAACAAAAACATACAGCCGCTTACTAAACATCAACAGTAAGGAAAGCAGAAATTTACATTAGAAAACAGCGATTTTTCAGTCTAGAAAGAGGGACACATTGAAGGGGTTTGAGAAGCATGTCACAACGCAATATACAGTACCGTAAAGATGAAACACAAGCACACAAAGAACAGCGCGCAGGATGTCCGTCTCCGGAAGGGAGAATGGGATGGCGATTTGAAGGAAAGTGAAACAAGTCATTTGATGTGAAAAGGGCTCAGTTATCTCAACAGGACAGGTCTGAGTGAATGCCATCTCTGCACGAGTCATAAGCCGCTTTTGAGAATCTGTTCTTGGGAAAAAACTTGGTAGAGTGTCAATTTTCGAGCAAATGGGAAAGGAAGGTAAAAGTAGAAAGAAGAAAAGCAAATGGAAAACCAGATGGTAAGCTGCTGTGCGATTTCAGACGCGTGGTCAATTTTCAAAACTCAAGGATGGGGCCGCTTGCGACAAGGCAAAGGGGGGACAGTTCACACACTTGCAAGAACTATCTAGGTATAGACTGTTTGGATGAAATGTTTTCCTTGCTCAAATGAAACAAAGATGGGGCATGCACGTTTTTCACTGTCGAACAACACTAAAATGTCTTTATTGTCCTGTTAATATGTCTGTATACTGCTAACATGTCATGATTGTATAGTATTGCCAGTTTCACTGATGCATGAGCTACTTGCCCAAATCCAAATACAAGACTCCACATGCAGCGGGCATATTCTGCTAAATTTCGCCGCAAAAACTGGGGAAAATTAATAATATTGAATTGATAGTTTTTTAGTGGGTGTTAGGGAGATGAGGCACCAAAACAGAACAGCCTGGCCTTTCCATTGGCATTCAACTTTTGCAAACGGAAGCATGTCGTGTCCGCATGTTAAGATGTTCTAATTCCCATTTGAAAACATTGTGTGTCCACACAAATCAATACCAAGAAGTTCAAGTCTCGCGTTAGATCAACGCATTGATGCCTAGGAAAAAAAAAAAAAAAAAAAGGGAAATGCACTGAGAAGAGGAAGAAACAATTATTTCTACTTCACACATGATATGTTCATGAGATGTTGCCTGATGGCAAAGGAATCGAACTTGTTTTGTGGAAACAGATTGCTTCATTGACATTTGGGGCGAGCGATGGAGCCATGATCAGGAGAGGCCAACAGCAAATTGGGGCATTTGGTTAAGGTTAAAAATGGCAGAAAAACAATAGCCTTAAAGGATATCATTAATTACATTATACGCTTAGAAAAGTACATTTCATCCATTTTCTTTTTTTTTTTTTCTTTTTTTTTTCCCTCACTACTTCGATTGCATTTTCAGTTCATTCAATCCAACCAGGCAAGGTCCGAACGTCATTTCAAACCACACTGAAAGTCAAACGTACAAAAACAAATCAAATAAATTACAAACACACAACATCAAAAGTCACGGGACTTGGGATAGTCTCAGCTCTGGCTAATTTCCTTTCTTTTGACTTGTCTCTTCTTACGACTGCCTGCAATCGGTTCATCTGAAACAACAGGTTGCAAAAAAAAAACCAAAAAACAAAAACAGATCCCGTGAGGCACATATACACCACCCAAGCCTTGATCGGAGAAAAGTCAGTTTTGTACGATGACATCCTGCTTTCTTAAGGAATCAAAGTGGGCTTTGAAATCGCATACTGTCACTGTCAGCGAGGGACTCGAAGCTCATCGATGAGTGCGTGTTCTTCAATAGGGTTTTAAAGCAATCTGGCATATGTACAGTCTTGATCCTCGAAACTAACCGCGTTGTCCTCATAGAGACAATAAGCAAACGTGGTTGAGATCAGCCGTTGCTGAGTAGTTATTGTGAGGTTTCCTCCATTTTAGGCCCTCAGTACAGAAACTAGTATTAAGTAGATGGTATCACAACCTTTGATTCTGGTCACACCGTTTTCCAGTAAGTTCCAGCAAGGTTTTTAGTGAATAATTTCAATAGGATCCTTATGCTGTTCTCCACATACCACCCTCTGTAATTATATTTTATATGTTGGGCGATTAAGTTGTTCCCAGCACGATCCATAAGCAGTTCCTTCTAATGGATGGTAGGCAGCTCCCCCAGCCACGTGCCAGGTAGTGGGCGTCGACATGTATACTCGTTCTGCAAGGACACAGATGAAAAGATTGGGTTAGAAACATTTGACAGCGGTTCTATGCCTTTCAGCGGTAGATGCCAAAGTGTTCGAGTAATTGCAGTGAGTGGCGATTACATTATAGCGCGGTGAAAGCAATGCAAGACAGGCAAGGTTAGTCAGGCACCGAGTAGAGGCACGCCGAAAAAGGGAGAGAGAGGGAGAGAGAGAGAGAGAGAGAGGGAGAGAGAGAGAGAGAGAGAGAGAGGGAGAGAGAGAGAGAATAATAAGTAACTACGACAAAACTATAAAGTTCTGCAGCATAACAATAGTGCGAGCCAATGCACGTCAACATGCCCGCAACCACCTCTGTTACAAGAAGACATTGTTTGTCATACCATCCACAGTCAAGCACATATATCCAGAACCATCCTCAATCCATTCAAAGTTCAATTATTTTTTTCCAAATACGAGCTCGCAGAATCCTGAACAACGGTTTGGATTCTCGGTGTAGATTAATGCTTCCAAGTGGAAGAGCATTGATGCAGTGGCGCCACCCTTAACTGACATTGTGTTGTTGCGTGGATTTTGGCATTTCACTCTCATCTGAGAGACAAACAGAGGGCTTACTCGACCCGCATACCAATATTTGACGCTGAAAATATCTACTCGTAGTGCGTCTGCATTTGGCCCTAACCTTTAAAAAAAGCCCACTTGGGACTATGCAGGGGGTAATTCCACCATTCAGTCATGAAACAAAGGCTGAGAATCTTTTAATGTCCGCTTTGAATGATCCCATTTCAGCTCTTTGCTCCACCAGCGGAGATTATTGTCAGTAAGGAGCAGTGTAGATTAAGAAAGAAGGGCTCTGACGTGATGCCCTGAGCTGAACTTTGATTTGGATTTATCACACGGCCGAGTCTTCATCTTTACCTTACCTACTATGTAGGCTGTTCTGAGTAAAGCTAAAAAAAAGCTGTGATATTTGCCAAAATATTGGATCATGGACAGATTATAGCTAAATACTGCACAGAAAAATAGGCACAAGCATTTAATAATGCCACGATGCCATGATTACCATGACGAGTCTTGTGCTACATATGAGGCAAGGCATATCAACATACTCATTGATACGTGTACACTTAATAAATGTACAGAGAAAAAAAGTAAGTACAGAAGTCAACCTTGTTTTTGCTCAGTAAATATATTGCTAATGCTGCTTACCAAATGCTATTCATACATACTAAGAAATGCAAAGAAATGGAAACATCCTGTATATGTCCGAAAATTATGTTCCTTATAAAAAAATGCAACTTCTGGAGAAACTGCATGTGAATGTAGCACGCAGCCTTCTTGATCTAAAGCTGATCGGGAAGGCTGTGGAATTAACTGAAATGTTAAGTGGATGAGACTTATGTATGTACTTATATAATACTGTATTTAAAAATGTCTTAATTTAGGAATTTTTCTGAGGTGGGTTTGGTGATCATGAATGAATACTTTATTGTCATTGCACACTTGTTACAACGAAATTCTGCAGGAGCCTCCACCCCCAAGTGCGTCGCAAAATATAAAAATATAAAAAATATATAAATACATTGCACTCCCCTAGACCCACACACAATCACACGCACACGTTTAAAATTGATAGTCAGCGTTATGGAATGGATTTTTTTTTTTTTTAAATTGTGATAAGAATAAGAAATTGTTTTCTTGATGGCTTGAATAAGCTTAATAGGATTAAAAAAAGCGGAATGTTTTAAAATGGTCAAGAAATGTGGAAGGAGGAAAGAGTAATGCGAAAAATCTTGTAATTTGGGAATTTTTGTGAAAAAAATAGTGGAATGGGAATCGTTTGCAACATTTCCTGAATGAGCTGAGCATTTTGAAGTTGGAATAGTTTGGAGCAGTCAAAAAATATGTATGGTAGAGAGAACAGGCAATGCAGCAAGGAATTCCACTGCACACGCTCACGCACTACCTCACTTTAAACCACAATAGTCACAAGTGCTGTTGTTATATTGTTTAGATTTATATATTTATGTCTTTTTATACAGTGTAGTTTGCTGCCTTATCTTTAGCTGTGTGTGTTTTAATGCACAGTGTGTTTGCATGTTTGCACTGAGGATTGAGAGGAAAGAAATTTCATCTGTGCTGTATGTTGTACATGGAGCATATTTGACAATAAAGATGACCTTGACCTTGATTTCTTTATTTGAAGTAAACAAGAAAGGCCACCGAGATATAAAAATACAGCATATACAGTACACCTATACTTTGTTTTACAACAGTACAGTACCATTTGCCTAATTTCATATCTACCAGTGGATGAAATCATGACGCTTGTGCAATGTGCATTTTTCAGCACTCTTCAGTATTTCATCCATAGGTGAAATTGTAAATATGGTTAAGTGTTGTTGTAAAATATATGTGTGTACTTGCATAATTTAAGCCTTGGCTGCTTAAACCCAATAATTGATGTTTTTCTTCTTCGTGAATATGTGCATTATATTGGCTATAATTTTATACGGTGTCACTTGATGCAACTGTGATTCATATTTTAAATTGCCATAATGCCAGTGGCTGAGACTCGGCCACTCATGAAATCAGTGGCAGAGCCCTGCATGCTGCGGGAGTTCATTGGAGGCTCGCACAGTTCAATTAATCCTACTCAAATGTTCATGAACATTTACATTGTCTTCTTCTGTAGTAATTATCTTGTCTTGCCACTATAGTTAAAAATTGATATTAAATATTAATATTCTTCTGGCCTTCTTTAGATTTAGTCAGTCTGCCGCCTTGAATAAAAAGCTACCATCATTGATGAGGTCAGGGAAGCCTGCCCATTATTAAAGACGTTTTTTGCATCCGTCACTAGAGATTAGCTTGACTTTTGCTATCTTTGCATAAGTAGATGATGCATTTCACTTTACTTTAGCATTTAGAGTCTAGCTTCCAAGCTGGCAAGATCCCAGGAGAAACTCGGCAAGGCAGATGGGCTTGGACCCTTGAGTTACAACCAATGCAAGGTGACAGCTGGTTGGCCATTGATACCACTGATGATCTCAGTAATCATGTTATCAGGTCGTGTCAGGGATATTTTGCCTCGAAGCACAGCAAGGCATTTAAAAAGGAGTATGATGTCCGGAGACAAGCCAACAGCCGACATGATACATCGATCAAAAATTTGAGTCCTGGAGACTCTACTGACCGCCTGATCCTTCCCCCTCCCCATGTTCATATGACATTTTCCCCCCGAGTCTTGGCTTCAAGTAGTTGTGGTTCAAAACAAAAGATGCTAACAGAGATCATGGTGCTTTCAATTTAAACTATTTTGAAAGCGCCAGGATCAGTGCCTCATTTATTCAGTGATGACTTGGCTTATGCAGTACTGTAACACTTCCAATTCTCGAGCGCAACTCTGTACTCTGCGATGAACCGTTTAAAACGTTTAAGATGAATATGGCTAAAGTCATGCGCGAAACAGTTTGAAGACCAGCACACCTAGAAAGTTAGGTGATACTAATAAGGGGCCTGGCTTTGGTCTGAGACTCAACAGGGAGGGATTGGTGAACTGAGGCTTCATTCAAATCTTGCTACCAGCAGCCTCCCACTTTAATGAAACAGAATATACAAAAAAAAGAAGAAAAAAAACAGATTCCTAAAACAAATCAGAGGTCAACTAGCATCTGAAAAAAGACTGTTTTGAAACTTTGCGATTCTCGTAAAATGAAAATACCTAAACTAAGATTCAATTTCAAACCGGCTCCTCATGGAGACAAAAAAATATATCTTTAAACTTCTGCAGTTCAGTTCAAAAACTGTAATTGTTGATTTAGGGACATGTTTCTGTTCTACATAGTCAACATCTTTTTTCCCCCCCTCTCTCTTGGGATCCATCCAGTATTTGTGATGAACTGGCACGGTTGAAATGACGTGTCATCTTTTGGAGGCATCTATGCAAAAACAACTTCTGTCTCAATCCACCACAATCGAAATGAGAACAAGCTGACATTTGAGAAAATTCTCAATTTTTTTCCCACTGCGTTCCGGTTTTCATTAGACCAGTACAAATGACATTTAAAACAAAAGCAAAGACTACAAATGAAATAACATTCTGATGCATTATTATTTGCGATTGGCTGGCAACAACTTGAGGCTTCAGCACGCCTCGTGAGGATAAAGCGCCCCCGGTAGGCTAATGGAATGGATACATTATCACTGACGCTGACATACCTGGACATCAATACGATACAACCAATAGACAGACTTCATTCGGTAGATAAAGCTGCTAGCGTAACTACTTTTTGATAAATAGGCGTACTAATCACATCTGATCTGGAAAGCCCAGTGAGCCAATTGCTTCATGTTAGTTTTTCCAAGTGAAACCAAATCAGAACGTTGTCCTCTTGTGTATGCCGTCCTATCTTCTGATTTCGACAATATCTTATGTGATCACTTGAATAGACACAAAAGGCAAAGAGTGTGCGTGTGGAAGCACAGATCTTTAATCTTCAAAAAGAGTTGTGGTTTTACAGCTAATTCCTTTTCAAACGTTCTTTTATCTTTGGGCCAAATATCTGATAAGAAGGGAAATTAATGAGCCAGGGCAACAGAATTGAGCGTAACATTATGATCATAAAAACAAAAAAAAGTGGTGAATTCCTTATCAAGCAAAAAAAAAAAAAACCACACACTGAGGATTATCACTGGTCAAAATATTACGGGAATATCGCACCATGTCATCGAAATCAAAGAGCACATTATTCACCCTTGGAGCTACAAAACAGAGTGGAATATCTGCCACTAAATCACTGCAACATCATTTCCTCCGTTGCTACGATGGTTTAAGTTTTGATCATCTTGCAAATATATAAAACATGATCTGTTCATTTGGTTCATAAAGGGAAAGCGTTCAAGCCCTGGCATGTATTGATTCAAGAAATTCGGGGAACACTAATTCAAAAACCATCAAACAACTCATTGGGTTGAATGGACATGATGGATATCGTGCTGGGCTTTCTGAAGG